AAGAAGGTTAGGGCTGTCAGATTCTTGAGGATTCTTCAACAATCAGAGCATTAATCGAGGTAAGGGGGAGAAACTGATTGGGGTTGGTATTTACATGAATTGGGTAGAGGGGATTCCTTAACCCCGTAGGGATTTTGAGGAACATGATTTGTATGTTGATGAATTGGTGAATATGTGTTTATAATTGTTACTGTTATGATGAATTTCGTGTACATTGATGTGTTCATAAGTATTGCTGCCATTGATGAAATTGGGCATGTGTTGTTGTGAGATTGGTGAGGTTCTGTGTAACTTCTGCAGTAGTAGTGATGAACATGAATATTGGTTCCAGAGAGAAAGTTTAAGGGATAAAATGATTAGAGTAGTGTGAGATAGTTGTAGTAATGATAGGGCAGAGGATAGATGAATGAGTAGAAGTTTATGTGGGGAGAAAACCCTAGATTTGAAATTGTGGATTAATGGTGAATGAGTAGAAGTTTATGTAGGAAGAAAACCCATAGAATACTCATGATTTAGTGGATTTTCGAGTTTGGTGAATACCCTAACATGTGGGGATTGATTGTGGTAGCAAAGGGGGAAGGGTTGGTGAAAAATACCATTTTCTGCATAATTTTTCGAAAACACACAGTAAGCAATCGATTGCACTAGTACAGCAAAACAGAGGCTAAAATGTGAAAAAATGGGTCAAGCAATCGATTGCACTAATACAGCAATCGATTGCATGCTGTATAAAAGTTGAAAATTGGAAATTTCCGTTTCGACGATTTTGGCCATAACTTTTAATTCGTAAGTTGGTTTTAGTTCCCATTCGAAGTGTTGGAAAGATAATGAATAGATCTATAACATAGTATATATAATATAATTAGTTGCCAAATATTTTTATATCTAATATGTTGGGGAGTCATTGTTTAATTAAATCTTAACTAAAACATGGATTAATTGAGATGATTTACTGATTAATTACTTGGTGCTAAAAGGGGAAATTGTGTAGTATTCAATATTAATTGAAATAGTTAAATTGGTGGTGTGATATATGTATGAGATATGGTGATGTGATCAGGAGGATCGTGTGACTTTAATTAAAATGATTAATTGATGAACAATACATATGTATGATGTATGGTGATGTGATCAGGGGATCGTGTGCGTTTAGTGTGCTTGGATTTAGTTGTTGTACATTGGTGTGTATGATTTGATTTGATTATGCAATGGTTTATGTTAGGATATTGAAATGATTAAATTGGTGTGTAATATGTATATATTGTATGGTGATGTGATCAGAGGATCGTGTGCACTTAGTGTGCTTGAGTTCATTTATTGTGCATTTGGTGTTATGCATATCATGGTGTTTTGTGGGATGGATCATTGCTCAAGAGGAGTGTATGTGATTCATCCGTACTCCATTGCGGAGAATGGTGGGGATAGATCATGGCCAAGGACGGGTGTATGTGATCTATTCGGGGTTTGATTGAATGAACCAATGAGTCGGTACCGCATGCATGGTGTTGAGTTGCATAATTGCATTATGGTGTGTTGTGTTGATGTTGAAGAGTAGGTCGTGTTTGATGAATGTTGGGTGATGAATTATATGATTACTACCTTTATCTCATGTATTGTATTACCAATAATTTTGATCATGTTTTCTCACCCCTTTGTTGTTGTGGTGGTCTGTGCTTCTTCGGAAGTACAGATAATCCAGGTACTTAGCTAGCTTGGATAGAGGTGTGCGAGTCGAGTCTTAGGATGCTCTGATACGTAACACGGGACTTGGGCGTTTTCTTTTGATTTAGTTGAACTTGTTTTACTTTCCTGTGACGTATCATGTGTTGGTGAATTTTATTAATGAATATTTTCATGTATTGGCGGATGGCCGAGATTGATGAACTAATGGATATTTTCCGTTGTCTTGTTTTGAAAACCTTCTAATGAAGAGTACGTTGAATTATGTGATGTGATATCCCACTTTAGTGGAGAACTCTGATGTTTAATTGAATTAATCGCATATTATTTTAATTCGGGAAAGTTGGGGGTTACAATTGGTATTAGAATTAGTGGTTCCTCAAGTGATCTTGTGAAGATCAGAATACTTGAGATGACAAGTGACTATTGTCATTTATGGAAGTCTAATAGGAGATCCTTTGTGATCGGATTCTATTGGATGTCAATGAACGTTATATCCTTAGGGATCCCTGAACGTGTCATTGTCTATTTGTTAGTCACTTGTAGTTAGCTTGTGCATGTTTGTAATCAATTTGGTTATAGTGGATTAAGTCCTTGCTTGAGTGAGGCGAAATCACCTTGGAAGGGTGAACTGGATTAGCTTGAGAGTTGCTCAAGTGAACCAGGATATATGATGTGTTCTTTACTTGTATTATGCTTTATTATTTATGTTTCCGTAATGCATTTGATAAGATCGTATAAAGTAACAAGTGAAGAGGCGATAAGAAGGGAAAAAGTTTTAATGAGGTGTAAACCCAATTCAAACCCCCCATTTCTTGGGTATTTTTCACACCTCCAAACAACATTTAGTCACTTGTCGAATTGCCTCAAGGAAAGAAGGCAATCGATCTGAAGTGGATATATAATGTGAAGTTGAATCCAAAAGGAGCAGTAACTCGACTAGAGGCAATACTTGTGACGAAAGGATTTCTTCAGAAAGAAGGAATCAACTTCGACGAAGTTTTTGCACCTGTTTCTAGGATCGAAACAATCAGGTTGGTTGTTGGTCTAGAAAACATGAGCAACTGACATATGTGTTAGATGGATGTGAAATGTGCATTCCTCAATGACCCATTATATGAATAAGTTTATGTTGCACAACTAGTTGGGTTTGTGAAACAAGGTGAAGAAAGCAAGGTATACAGGATGCATAAAGTCTTGTACGGACTTAAGCAAGTTCAAGAGCTTGGAATAAGAAGATATGTAGCTTTCTAAAGGAGAAGGAACTTGTGAAGTGCACAACTGAGCATGAAGTATATGTAAGAATAAGCAAGAGTGAATTGCTTATACAATGTCTCTATGTCAATGACATGTTGATAACAAGCAGCTACAAGAAATAGATTGAAGACTTCAAAGGGGATCTGCATGGAATTTCAAATGTCTGATCTGGCCGACATTTCATACTTCCTTGGCATCGAATTCTACAAGAGTAGTAGAGGCTTGATGATCATCAAAGAAGATATGCAAGCGAGATACTTAAGAGATTTGAGATGTAAGACTGTAATTTGACTTAAACACATGTTGAACCAAGATTGCAACTGTCGAAAGACTCAGAGGAAGATGATGTCGACCCAATATAGTACAGAAGACTTATTGGATCATTAAGATAACTTTGTCACACAAGGCCTGATCTAGCATACTGTATAGGTATGATGAGTAGATTCATGCAGAAGGCAAATGTATCACATCTAACAACAACGAAGAGGATACTAAGGTATCTGAAAGGAACTCTCGGCTATGGCATTTTATTTCCTACATCTGATGAAGGAAAATAATGCAAACTAGTGGATTACACTAACTTAAGTTGGTGTAATGATGCTGAGGATAGAAAATCCACAGTTGGCTATGTGTTTATGCTAGGCAGTGCACCAACTGCTTGGAACTCAAGAAATGAACCACTAGTGACTCTGTCGTCGCGTGAAGTATATTACATAACCGCTTATCTCTGTGCATGTCAAGCAACATGGATGGTGAATTTGGTCAAAAAAATTACAAGGAAGAATCATGGAGCAATTACAATGAAGATCGACAACATGTCTGCTATCAATTTGGCAAAGCATTCGATAGCACATGGAAGAAGCAAACACATCGAAATGAAGTTCTATTATCTTCTAGAGCAAGTAGCAAATGAGAAGTTGAACTTGGAACACTGCAGAACTGAGAATCAGATTGCAGACATCATGACGACATGTGTACAGGTCGACGTGCTCAAAAGTCTAAGAACAATGATGAATATAGATAACTTAGACACAATGAGTTAGCTGGTGTGTTGAGATTATAATTCTTTGTATCAAATCATCGTTTTGACAAAGTCTCTTATTGTCAAAATGCTCTGCACATAAATTGTATAGATGTCAAAATGTCAAAGAAGTGTGTCTTCGACATAATTTTGACTTAACTTTATTTGTTTGTTTTAGATGAGTTAAGTTAGTTGAAATTTGCTTGATGTGCAAGCAATCTCAGCCTATAAATAGGGAGGTATCTTATCATTATAATATGCAGTTGCATAGAGAAAATATTGAACAAACTTCAATTTAAAGACAGAGAGAAATTCTACATAAATATTCTCCTTCTTCCCCTTTTCTCAAAAACCCTAATTTTTCTTATTCTCTGATTTATCTTTTCCTTTCTTCTCAAATTTCTATGCAACAAAATCATGTTACAACTTAAGTGTAGTTGATTCACTCGAGTGGAAAAAAAAAGAATCAATAAAAAAATTGATTCTTATTCATCAAAATTGATTTAGATTTCTCCTTATCTTAGAGTAATTTCAACAATCTTCCTCCTATAGAAGAATTATATAGTGTTTATACTATGAAACAAAGTAGTATATGAATGGTGTCTTTATTTCATTCACAATGGCAGTACATTTGCCAAATATTAACAACATTATACAAAAATACTTTTACCATAAAGTTTTTACAAAATCATTCCAAAAAATCAACAAGCAACATAACAAGAATTATTTTTTGACCGTATGCTTCAACACTGATTAGTGTTGACTAGTACCTGTATAGTTTCAAAAGCATTCATATTGACTTCATGAAGAAAAAAAAAAAAAAAAATAACAAAACATATCTTACAAGGTTGCTAAATACACCCCAATCAAAACTATGCAGCAACTGCTTCTCTTAGCAGCATTTTCTTTTTGCTTCAAAGGCTCTGTGAAGAATTTGAACTCACTTTATACTGTAAAACTTTCATCACCTCAATGCAGCTAATGAATGCAGAACTTAAATCATGAAGAATGAATGAATTATTCTTTCATTGAGATTCCTTCTTCAGTGCCATTTGCTATGCTTCATTTCGGGGTAAAGTCCCAAAACATGTTCCGGCATGAAATCGTGACGCGTCAGAATCCCGACGATTGGAGGTCTCTGCAAAGTGTTAGGGTTAGTCAGAAAATTTTGCATCAAGGGTCCGTTCAGATTAACTTATTCGACTATGCAGAAAATTTTGTAATATCGACTATTATATGTATGTGCATGTAATATCGATTATTATTATGCATGTGCATGTAATATTGACTATATATTGTTATGCACGTGCATGAAATATCGACTGTTATTATGTATGTGAAAGAAATATCATACCTCTTGGCTCTTCGGAACAACACACATGTGTCTGAGTCCCTGTTGACGGAAAATAATAGCGGCTTTAGCAAGTGACATCGTCTCAACCACGGTGTATGGCGATGTATTGGTTATTGGATGAAGATCAACATACATATTCAAATCTTCTTCTTTGATATCTAAATCTTCTAATTTGACCCCTTTTCCTGACCCCGCCTTTCCAAAATCCAGCACGGAAATATTTTCTAAGATACCCGCATTCGCGAAAACCCTCTCTCTTGTAAAATTCTTCGCCTTTAGTAAGACTAGTAAGTAAGACCTCAGTACGAGTCCACACAACTCTCGCGAGTCTGTGAAAGGCGGTTCATCGATGACCGGAAACCCGTTGTGTCCTGTAGTATTCAAAACATGTAAAATATTCCCGACCGTTTCGATGCCAGAAAAGGACATTAAAGGACCCGAGACAACATCGCGTGTAGCTATATTTCTCATGTATGGTTCAGCGTGCGCTTCTAAATAAGGAAGTCCTTTGATCTTCAATATTTGATCGTAGACACCTTTGTTGAAAATGTCGGCCACGGATTTTGATATTAACAAAGCCAACATCACGAGCGGAAGTAACAAGAGATCATTAGTGAGTTCGAGTAATATAACACAAATCGAGACGGTCATTCTCATGGTGCCACCGAGGAAAGAGGCAGCTCCTAGGAGAGAAAAGAGTCCTCGGTCGAGTTTCGTGATCGGTTCAAAGAGTCTACTGAGAACACGGCCGTACGCAGCACCGGCAAGTATCACAGGAATGAAAAGTCCAGACGGAACAGCGATACCGTAAGTGATTATACCAAGAAAGTAAACAGCTGCAAAGAAGATAAACAAACTTGAAATGTGAAATTCTTTGTTTATCTTAGGACTGAATAGATTACGAATAGCATCGTCGTTGGTGTTTAGAAAGAGGGAAGCGAGATCATTGTAGTAGCCCGGCGGACATTGGAAGATTTTGTATTCTCCCGACTCGTCAACCGAGGGACAAGTCACCGCCCCTTCGGTAGGACAAGGGAGACAGTTTGCAATCCATGGTAGGAAATAATAACAACATGATGTCAAAAGAGAAACTGTAACTGCAAGAGAGATTTTGAAAAATGGACCTTTTCTGCAACAAGAAGAAAAAGAATGAACTATTAGTTATGATGGTAATACACTAGATTGGACTAAAAACATGTTTGGATAGACTTATTTAAGCATATAAAATAACTTATGACATGTATATATAAGCTCTTTTAAGCTTATTTTCATGAACTCTCCAAAATAGCTTATGAAAATAATTTGACTTTATTTTAGCTTTTATTATAGAAATAGCTAATATAAACACTTAATTATGTTGACTATCCAAATAGGGCCTATTGTTTTGGACCGCTCCGAAGGTCCAAAACAAAAGGCCCAAGAGCACCACCAAGCGGTAAAGTGTATAGAACACGTGAATCTTCATTCTTTCAAGACCATGCAATTCTTCCCTCAAGACACGTCTACCGCCATCCAATTAGATCAGACGACTATCCTCACAATGCGCTTCACCTCATGCTGACGGTTTTAACTGCTCTCGCTATATAATAGGAAGGCGCACTATTTCAGGTATTCAATCCATTTTCACTCTCACATTACTTTTCATTCTCTCACTGACTTAAGCGTTGGAGTTCTCACGTTACTTTTCATTCTCTCACTGACTTAAGCGTTAGTGCTAACCTTGCGGGTCATCCCCCTTTCCGCCACACTAGAAACTTACTCCGCTGTACGAAAAACTTATTTCACCGTTCATTGAACATTCTGGTTCTATAACGGAACAGCTATGATGAATGTCGATCAGAAAGAAGCAAGTATATTGGGCCAATAAATATAACATAAAAGCGAGGACATACTCGTTGATGATGCTATATGAACGAACGACCTTGTCGACGAGGAAATTATAAATGCTTCCAAGAATACCAGCAATAGTCGCCAAAACTATAACTGCTAAAATGTCGCCGCCACTATATGTTACTTTGGCTGAACTAACATCATACAATATAAGACCGCCTTCGCCAAATAGTCCACATTTCCCAGTCGAGCAAAACTGAATTCCACCTCGTAAAACAATAGCAACTACTGCTGTAGTAAAAAATGACCTCCATAAAAGAGCACTCCTCCACCAAGAAGCTGCCTCTTCAAGGGCAAAGAGGACACCACCTACAGGAGATCGAAAGGCGGCAGCAACACCAGCAGCGGCACCACAAGTAATCATGTCTCGCCGGTCTCGGTCATTTTTGAAATACCTTAGCCAACTCCAAGTCAAACCGTACTTTCGGGACCCGCCCTGCCCCAAAATAGAAGCTATGCATGCTCCTGTGTGAACCATAGGTCCTTCTTTTCCCACCACAAATCCAGCCGATACTCCGAATATGGAACCGACAATCTGACACAATTCAAATCATAAGTTTCACATAATTAAAGTTTTATCTGAATCATTAAGTGTTATTCACCTTTACAAAAAGAGTGGATGGAGCCAGAATTGAGTGAGCATCAATGCCGTTGAGATACGCTTTAACCTCTGGAATGCCAGAGCCTGCTGCCGACGGAGCAATGAAAGCACAGAGAGCTGCAGCCGCTGCTGCTAAGCTCATATTCAAACCGGCATATACAAGAAACGCCTCAAAAAATCTGCACTACAATACCGTTCTATGAGAATACGCGAATAACAATACAAACATTTTTGTGCAGTTAAAAGTAACCTCACCTATGTTTAGACATGAGACTAGTTGTAAGAAGAAGCTTGAAACCAGCTATGTTCTCGACAGCAACGTTATTGAAAAGACCAACCAATCCGGTTCCTAATCCAATAAGAAGCGCAAATACCCATTTAAGTACGACATATTGGAATATCTGAACCTTCTTCCTGGACCTCCAGTCCTGGTTAAATGTTTCACTATCAAAAATCCTGAAAATTACATAATAAGTATACTTGCATCAAAAAACCCGAACATTGGTATTACCGCACATGGTTCATATTCGCTGATAAGTGGACAAACGCTGAAGTCGTAACTAGATCGTAGTTTTAAACAAAATTTTGTACTCTCTAACCCTAAGCATTACATAACAGAGAATTACAATAGTTACTCGACAGTTTGAGACACAGGCATCAGTGGAATTGTTAGCACCTAGCAGAATTCTAACCTGATACCTTAAGAGGAGCACACTCTTAGGGGCTGAGATTTCACCAACAAGTCCACCCCTTTGGTTAACATAGGCACAATTGGCCGAACTCTGTGCTCAATCGTTTTATTCTTGTGCGTTTATTTATATTTGCTTTTAGAGTCTGGTTTCGCAATGATATGAATGTATGTTATACAAAAGGAATTGCACGTTACTTACTCATAATCGAGACTTTCGATAGGGCAAAGGTTGGAACCAACTATGGCAATCTGAGATGTAGTGTTAATCCTCTTCACAAGAAGAGGTTCTTCATATGTCATGTTCCTTTCAGAAAACTGTGACCAATATCTTCCAATTTCTTCGCCGTTGCCATCAAAGCTACCGTCGTTTTCTATATCAAGCACATCATCACCATGATTTACATTTTCTTCTTTTTCCATCTTCTCGGTGACTTCATTCGACAATGTCTCAGGAACCTAAATTACAACAAACGTATCAATCATTAATATTACCAAAAGAAGTTAAATGAAAACAGTAATCAGAACCACATCCTAAGCAAGGTATCTAAGTGTCCATGACACTTAACATTCAATCCTAAAATGAAAACATTTTCCAACCAACATTCTTTGGATTTACCACAGTTTTCAACATTATACATATGAGAAAACTAGTTTTGACCCGAAGTCATCAACTATGAATGAAGCACTTACAAAAACTTCAGACACGATATTGACACTCCGACACGTCGACATCAATAACATTTTGTAAAAATTGAATCATTATATGTCACATATTGCAATATCATGTCTGACACCAACACGTATCAGACACTGAACAAATATTCAATTTGAAGTGTCAGTGCTACATAAGTCATTAAAGAGTATACTTCAAGTCTCTGCTATTCTAGAAATTGTCGAGTCAACCTACAAATTGAAAATAAGCCGAATAATACACATAGATTATGAGATGAATTACTATTAAATCATAATGTTCCAAACCTCAACCGGAAAGTTCGCTAGCGGATTTGAGTTCGGAACACATAACATCAGCTTGCAATTGCAGCTGCATCAGTCGCATTTAACCACGATTTTCTGCAATATCAAGGATTGCCCACCGGGACCATGAAAATGGCCGCGACAGAACGGTTTTGGCAGATGCCGATACCGATACTATTATCACCGATTTTTATATTAAAGAACAAAGTATGGTAAATTCACATTGCGACGACCGCAATCAGTGTCGCGACATCTGTACTGAACCAAATCAGAACTATTTAACCTTGGATTAGCTAGTTTTAGTAACCATGTCAATGAAGAACATGAGAAAACATCAACATTGAAAAGTTCAATAACCCAATTGGTGTATGATCAAACTCCATCTCTGAATCCAATCCAAACTCAATCAATTATACATCTCTAAAAAATCAAAATCTTCATCAAAAGAAATCATTAAAAAAGCAACAATTCTTACCACAGAAACACATAAAACATATAAATTAAAATAAAATAGATAAGATTAAGTAAGAAAGATATACATACACTCATTATAAATTTCAGCTTTTGAACTTGAAATCAAACTCAAAACCTTCAAAGCTTTGAAGTGTTCCAATCATGAAGATGACAAATAAACTAAAGCTAATTCTCAATCATCACTTTGTAAAGTCAAAGAACTCTCTATACTTTGATGGATACATACAACAATCTGAAAAGGACAATATTTCTCTCTCTTGTCTCTCACATGCAACAGCTACCACAAAATTTGACTAATTTAAGGAAAAAAAAATTAAAATATATCTATTTTTCTTTTGGAAAAATTGGGTTTTCAATACCACAAAAAAAATGATTGGAGGCTTTGAATAAATGAAGGTAGATTTGAATTTTAATTTCAGGTTGTTCTTATCTTATCTTTGAATAAATATATTTTGTAAAATAAATAAATAAATAAAGTTTGTTAACTGTTAAGATGTTTTAAGTTCAAAATAGCAATATTCCTGATATTAATGAGATATAACGAAATTAATACCAAAAACGTAACATGTGTTTTTTATAGGAAAAATTACACCGATTACTCAATTTTATACTTAAGGAAATTTTAATAAGTATTCATTTTCAAGAAAAAGAAATATCGAAAGAATGTAATTTTAAAAACATGATTTTTAATATTCAAGTTTAAAAACGAATTTGAAATAGTTGACAATGCAACAAAATTTCAATTTTTTTTTCCGAAAAACAATTGTTATTAATCAGAATACAAAGGATATTCACACGAATACAACTACAATGGAACAAAATCTCAATTTTACCCTTATATTTTTTTATAAATTTTGGAAATTTTAGAAAATAAAAAAAATGAATATCGAAAATTTGGTTTTGTTTGTGTTAATAAGAATACATTTTTTAAAATTAAAATAAAATATAGTTGATAAATAATAACACGAACATTTTTGAAATTTCAAAATTATGAAAAATGAGATGTTTAAATTTTATATGAGATGTTTGATAAAAAAGTTAAGTTAAATTAAAAAAATAAATCTATTTAAGATATTTGCAATGAGTGGAACTTGGTGGCACGTTGTCACGTTTAACATTCACCAAACAGTTGTACAACAAAGATAAGTTGTTCCCCACACGCAAAACACTCTCTGGCAGGTTGCTTCTACTCAATTTTCATGTCACACTTGGATGCTGAAAACGACCTTTAATTATTTGCATAATCTTATATAAATTTCTTTGCTTTCTTTGCACTAATCTTATGAGTTTTTCTATTTGCAACTATTTTGGAATGGGAATAAAAGAAAGACGAAAATGCTATTTTCCTTAAATAAAAGTTTATGTTATAAGGATAATCGTGAACCTAAGAGCTTATGATAAGAAGAGGTGTTAAGCTTGATCATCATTCTAGAGCATATTCTTGATATCTTAATTAAAATAGTCGGAGGCTGTTTCAATAAAGATCATATTAAAAAAAATCTGTATGGCAAATTAAGTTGTTGAAACTCATGTGATATGCGATTGGAGATTTTCCATTTGATGATATAAAGATTTGACAATATTTCTATAGTTTGGATCCCGAAAATTTAAAAATATTTTAAAATTTTTTAAGATATATATTCGAACGCACTAAAATTTATTTTTGTTAAAATTTAATTTGAAGATAAATATGCGAATATTTTTAAGTTAAATTCGCAGATGTATTTCTGTAATTTTTTAAACATGTTTTTCAGGCAGAAATATTGTCATAAGTTTGTATTTTTTTAGTCGAAAGTCATTTTAATAAACACGTATATCGTAGAACAAGGTAAAGAGCATTTACTCATATTACAAATATTGTTCTCGAAGTATGAAAAAATATCAAAAACATCCCAAAATACAAATAAAAGCATACTCTACTGTGTATGCCTAATCCTAACCCTTGACTCCTTCTCTATTGCTGGTAACCCAAGACATTCAGTACCTAAGTAAGAATGGAACGTGCTAGTGCAACTGAATCATCGCCACCTTTCTCAAACAACCCAGACTTTATGACCTCTAAATATTCTGACATATCAGCAACATATCAATGGCATGGCCACCCATGGCCTGCTCATTCTCCATGATAGGGTGTGATACACTATAGAACCAAGTCATGTTACCGCCCATATAAGGCCATTGACTTGTGGTTGACATGCTCTGATACTCCTCTGGTACCAGAGGGCTCTCGTAGTCTGTCAGTATGTCATCAAGATGTCTGTGAACTATGTTGTTAGGAGCAGACACGAAGGGGATCTCAGAATGATTTCCACATATCCAAACTGACGCATGCGTTGCTCTAGCAAATACTTGCACATCAAATTTGTCCCACATGCCAACCATTTAGATGTACCTGATCGTGCAACTTCTGAACATCACTGAAGACTTTGTCAAGCTCGGATTGACGTTGAGAAAGGTCTTTCCTCAACTGGTCAGCACGATCCTGCTCACTCTGCAGCTTTGTCTTGTACTCTGATAACTTTGCTCGAAGATCTACAAGTTGCTTCTTATAGCTCAACTCATCCTTATGGGCTTGATACCGAGTATCGACAAGTTGTTTCTTCTTTGAGGCAACCCCATCAAAAGTACTTTTCAAGACATTGCCTACTTACCTGGGTTTGTTCTGCTCAAACTCCACCTCTTTGAACATGAGCTCCTTCTTCTGACGAAGATCCATCTGTAAGTTCTCCTTTTCGGATGTGACCTTGTCAAGGTTGAGACGAAGATCAACATTCTCCTTCTTCAACATCCCAATAGTCTACTTGAGCTAACCGACTTCTGAAGGAGGAATAATGTCAAGTTCACGAAGTTTGACATACATAAAAGACTCCAAAGGAAATGGTAGAAATGTCGCTTGAACTCGTTCGTTAACCCACAATGTGTAGGCTTCTTTCGTAATACAATTCTTCTTACCCAACTCATCTCTACCCTCACGGTCAATGTGTACCTATGCAACACTAAATCTCTTCAGCAAATCCATGTCATCAACCCCTTAATGAAAGATGAACTCTTCCACTACCTCAGGATCTGGTTTATCAAGCATCATATATCCCAACTGACGAAAAGCAAGCCTCAGATTGTAGTTAATTCCACCCTTTGTACCCAAGAGAGGTACATTGGAGAATTTACCATAGTGAAGAATGATCTTAGTACCATCATAGACTCGAGAATACCAAGAGATGTTATCAAAAATAAGAGACATGATCCTCTGAGATCACTTAAGATTCTCACTATTCTTCACAAAAGAACCCTTTTGCAGAAGATGAGACATGAATCATCGATATAGCATAGGAGCACAACATATGATAGTCCCTTTCTTCTTTTTATTCCTCAAATGAATAGAATAATAGGTACCAGCAAGAAGTGTAAGAACTGGATACCTGGACAAAAAGATACTGATGGTAGCCTGATTAACGAAATCCTCCATGTTCGGAAACAAGACGATCCCATATATCAGTAAAGAAAACACGGTGTTGAAAGCCTTCCAGCTTCCAGCTTCAGCAAAAGAAACGGCCTTGTCTACTAGAAACTTCAAAGCAAACCCTCGAATACCCTTTCCTTTAGTCTTGAAACTGTCTTCCACATCCTTCTTACTTAGGCCAAGAGCTTCAACAATAATAGGAAACTTTGAACAACTGCTGGTGTAAACGAACGGAACCTGACTCTTGATTTCAACCCTCAAGATATGAGAGTACTCCTCAAGTGTAGGTGCTAACTGGTAATCCTGAAATGTGAAACACCTCAGTGGCGGGTCATAAAACTGAGGAAGTGTATGAGTAGCAGTAATGTTAACTTCAGTATTAAGAATGGCCAAAATATTTCCATAATCATCCCTGAAAACACCCCTGTCATCTTCAACCAAACAATATGCCAAACCCCTCAAAGTCTTCAGCTTAGGCTCCATAAACTTGTAGCTAAAGATACCCTTAAAACCAGTAATCATCATCTGTCTATGACTATGCCAACAAAGAATAAGCTCTCAGACAACCTGGAAAATGAACATGCAAAAATGTTAATGGTTATGATGAAATGTCATGCAACACACGAATCACGAATCCAAGCACAATCTGAACAATCAAATCTGCACAATCTGAATATCTGCATATAATTTTGTGTCGGTGCAAAAGAATCTGATGTGCAACAAAAGGTACAAAGAGTCTTAGTTTCCTACAAAAAAAACCCATATCCCTCTCACATGTGTGATCTAGACACAACAAAGTGGTCCCTAGAAAGGTCTCCCAAACCATAAGAATCAAGTGAAAACCCCCAGCCATAGCGAATTCTCGCAGGACGGAAGTATTCTTAAGTGAATCACGATCTGGGATGTGGCTCTCATGACAACCCAACGCGCAAAACGCGTTGTTGCACCCCAAAATTTGCCTAACCTTTTTCTAACTTGGTTTATGTTTCATTTCATCTTCTAGCATTTGCATTTTGCATATCATTGTTCATTTGCAGAGGATCAAGAGAAGTGTGTATAGCAAGAGAAGGTTACCAAGGGTTCTAAGCCTAAGCAAGAGGTTTTATTCAAGTGGTCAAGTGCTTATCATCATTAGGAGAAGGTCAAAGCTCTTTGAGAGAGTGGATGGATAATTGTGGTTTATCTCCTATCTTGGAGGCCAAATGAAGATTATTAGAGGATTGTGAGTCCATGGTTATGGATGGAGAATATTGTGGGAGCTCATTGAGTGCTTTGAAAGCCATTATGGAGCTTATCCAAGTTTTTACATCATGTACAAGAGGTTGCAGTCAAAGGATTGTATACCTAGGGTTGCATCTGCCTAATGCACAGTCAACTAGAGATTTGAAGGAGATTAAGACTTAGTTCCAAGTCATTGTGATCATGGAAAATTTTGTTGAAGCATCTAAGATGTTATTTCAAGATCAATTTAAGAAGAATCAAGCGTGTGAGAAGTTGCTAAATTAGGGTTTCCAGGCTTGCCAATGTAAAATCCCCTATTTAGTGCCTTACTTCAAGACCACATATCTCAAGATACAAGTTTCATCTCACTTTGATGTAAACATAAAACTTGTAG